ATAGGTACATCAACATTTATAATTTTATTTGTAAAAAAATGGTAATCACTCGTTCGGATTTTGAATAGGTACATCTAAATTATTAGAAAAAAAAGTCTGCCTAATAATAATATACATGCATGGAAACAAAGGGGGGGGGGTTCTCATTTTTATAATATAATTTTGTACTGTCACATTACTTCCATACCTGAGTTAGTACAAACACCCTCAATAATTTTAAAACACTGAATATTGGAACATTTTTTTTAGAATTTTGATAAATTCATTATTGAACGAAAAAATGAGAGTGAGAATGTTTGGTCAATCATCCTGTGTGTACAATATTAAACTATGTGTACTCGAAATAATTATTAGTTGGCACAAAACTCGGCGGCTAATCATCATCATGCACACCAACTGTATTTGGTCACAATCATTACAACAATAATTATTATTATCATCACTCACCGAGCGAGGTGGGCACGGGCGGCGTGTAGACAGGCGTCGCATTCTGGGCCTGTTGCTGCGGCGGTTGGGCCTGCATGCTCTCGTACAGGTCAGCCGACAGCGGTGTCGCCGAGAACGCCGTCTGATTGGCGTCGTAGAACGGCGACGTGCCGCCACCGGACGTGACGCCCGCCGCGTTCAGTTCCGAGAACAATTTGTGTTCGTCTTTCAAACACCATTTGCCGGGCCAAAGCTGCAGAGAACACAAACAAACAGTGCGCCGTTTAGTGTGTTATTTTCGTGGACGAATATTTCTATATTATTTTATCATCGCGGACAGCTGCAGCTGCAGGCGGATACTATATTATGCAGGAYAATAATGAGAAATCAAACGAGCGCTTACAGATACATTCGAATAGAGCGACGCGTCGCCGTTGTAGTGCACTTGAGATCGTTCCCTCTTGATTTGCTGCTGGTGGTCCGCGTGGCCGTTCAGGTCTCGGTTTTCGTCTACGGAAAATAATAAATTATTAACACCGAGGTTTTATATATAAACAAACCGCGCGTTTTGGGACCGCGTACAAAAACGTCTCGTTAAAGTTCGGCTCGCGATTGCGTAAATAAAAAAAAAACACAAAAACACAAAAACGCGACACACACACACACGCATATGTGTATATATGCATCCGGGTCCTGACCCTTTCGGAAAATAAAAACACCGACTCCCCCGATGCGATGATTTCTTCCCTAGTTCGTAAAATAGAATAATTGGCGATCCACCATGCGGGACTATAAGGTGGACATCAGGGGACATTTCAACGCCCAGAGTATAATATAAGGATTTACTTCGTGTGATTATTTCATAATATATAGTGCATGGCCGTGACCGACGGACTCGCGTAGATCAAAACTCACGCGAAATACCTACTGAGAAGACCGCTGGTGCCTGTGGGGTTGTAACTGTAGCCGGCATATGGGGACGACGCGTACTGGTTGTATGGCGAGCTCGTGTACGACGCGTATTCGGTGCCGGCGCCTGAAACAAAACGAGAAAAAAAACGCTGTTATATATAATAGGTACGTCAAATGCGCATATCATCGTCATCTTTTGAACTCGCGGGCCACTTGAATGCGTCCCGACAAGCAATCGATAGGTGTACCATCATCGATTCAAGCGACATCATCACCAGTTGCGGCCACCGCACGATCACGCGGGTAACACATGATCGGGCAGCGCGTCGATCACCGTCCGCGGTGGCCGTCCACAGTGATATCATAATGATATTATATAATATTAATGTTGGCACGCGCGACTTACCTGTCGTGGCGTAGTGCGTGGTGAAACCGGGTAACATGGTGGGCGCCGAGGCCGCGTACACCGTACCGTTGTTCTGGTTGTTGTTGGCCGGTTGCAACACGGTCAGGCTCGACGGGTCGGGCGATCCGGCGGGCGTGACGTCAGCCGCTGACAGCGACAGTGAGACGCCGCCGGACTGCTGAGGTCCGGCACCGCCGCCACTGCCGCCGTTACTAAACCCACCGGGGGCGGTACCGCTATCTACTCGAGACAAACCATCACAACAAGCGTAAATAAAACGAAAAAACAAAATGCCATGCGACCGAAAAGCCGCGCGGACCGGTCAATGTCCGGTATAGGAAGTGGATTCTGATTTTTTTTTTTACATTAATTGAACGGCGGTGGGGGGAGGGGTCGTTTCCGGGAAGCGAGTTTTCATAAAAATTATGCTTCAAACGGATTGTTGTTTTGTATAATGGGATAACTATACGAGGTAGGTACTCATAATATGTTTGCATTTAATTTCCGTTAATAACAACGATTGTTATTATTATGTATATACGATAAAACTAATTTAATTAGGTGCCGATATTATATAGGTAGAGGGWGATAGTGCAAAGGAACACTTTACCGAATGGCCATGGACTGCGGGGGAGAGGGGGTGGCAATAATAAACGTGTATTTTGAGGGTGGCTATATATGTAGGGTAACAAGATCCTAAATACATATATAGCACTGCAGTTAATATTTATTTGCCGGTATATGCGANACACACACACACACGCATATGTGTATATATGCATCCGGGTCCTGACCCTTTCGGAAAATAAAAACACCGACTACACTATATACTGCACACAAATATTCCCCCGAGGTCAAAGAGCAGATTGTGTTTCGCTGCTTATTACCCCGTTCCCGTTGGGAATATGCATTCAAAGCTTTAAATGTCAAACTAATATATTGAATTACGCGAGTGTTCCCCTCCCGCCGGAGCTTCCGAAAACACACGGGCCCGCGCGCGCTTAATGTTGTCAATTCGACATAAATCTGATTGCTCGCTTTGCGCTCCACGGTAATGGCTTTCCGCGAAATAATGATCGATTTCTATCGACTGCTTTTAAATTTGTCGGTGGTGGTGGGTGCCGTCGTATAGGAGGTACACGTCGTATTATTATAATTTTTTTTTTTTTTATTTCAAGAACTAAGTAGAAAATGTTTTACAAGTTTTTGTACCTCGAAAAAAAAAAAGAAGGCCGTTAATCACGTTACTTGATTTGATCGAAATTATTTCCGTGTGAGTAATACACTTAGCGCAGCTAGGCCACAGACATACCGCATAAACATAATGTTAGCGTATACTTAATATTCTGAAAGGCCCACTGCGTAACTATTAATGATTATTAAATGTATTATTATATTTTGCTTGAAACTGCACTGCGCTTGCCATTTTTCTATGCGTATTGAGGTGTATAWGATTAATAGGTTTCTTACGGACTAAGCGGATATGTAGTACAATATTCAAATAATAATGATAATTAGATAACATTATTGTTGATGACTTTTCCTCACTTATGAGTTTTAGTATAACTTAATGGGGGGAGGGGGTTGTATAATACTTGTATAGTATACAATGTTATTGTTATCCGCAGATAATCATGACCTGTTCCGGATAGTCAAAAATATGATTTTGCATACTGAAAATTGAGATTAAACATTCCATGGGAATTTCTTGTTTTGAAAAATTAAAATTCACACTTTATAACGATCGCTTGGACATTTGGAGATACTATAGCTGATACTATTGATTTTAATCAATTTGAAATGCCTGCTTGTAAATAATATAAACTTTTTTTTTGTTTTGTAACAATTGTTTTCGATATTATATATATATATATATAATACACTGTTTATATAACAATACAATATAGACAAAGACTTCGGATATATACAGACCGTGAAAGGGTTGACGAAGACAAAAGGGWTTTTAAGTTTGTCAAAGTTTCTGGAAAGCATGTACGGGTGTATATATATATAAATATACGTGTATAAAAGGACCTTTTCAATATCGATGGCGTATCGCTGTACAAAGTGAGCCTAATGCGTCGAAAGGAAAGGAACGATACGAAAGAGAAAACCCTTTACACGGATACCCAGACAGGGTGAAAGGCTTTTCGTTCGGCTATTCAATTTGCTGTTTGCCTACACGTATCTTCTAAGGGAAAATAATTCTAGACGCTCGAGATGCCATTTGACAATAATATTCAACGCACGTTTTATACCCTAAAAATTGTTCCACAAATCTAAGTGGATTGAAACAAATACAATATTGTTGAGCACGATTTTCTTTTCCTTTTACGCCCGATGTTGTTTTAAAGCGTCTGCGCTGTGTAATTTGATTTCAGTGATATAATACAATATGTATAAATGTATCTATAATTGTTTTTGAAGTTTTACGGTATTTTATTATAAAGTTTGTTCAAATTCAAGAATAATACAGGTCATTGACATTAAGTGTCTTACAACAATCTAAAAATGTCAATGTTCCATTCATCCGTGATTTTCTTATAGTTCTTAATATTGAATTTAAATAAAAATGACATACCTAATTGTTTTGTTTTTTTAATTTTCACGTAGAAAATATATATATATTTTTATATAAATAATTATACAATTTATTAAAATTATTATTAAACTGACGACAATTTTTTTTATTCAAAAATGTGTGATATATAATACAGTTTATACACTATACTAATCACTAATCAGTCATTAAATACCCATTTTAAATGTTTTGCAGTAATAGAATCTTGTAATTAGTAAACTGATTTGTAATAGCATACATATTCTGAGACATTTTAAATCTTAAAAAAAAATGTTCTGTCTTTTGAATATTTTTGATTAAACATGTTTGGACTTTGGAATGTCGTACACAATGTTTTTAATTGAAATAGGTAGGTACTTATTGTGAAACTACAGAAATGTCAAAAACACACCGATGAAGTACCTATCAAATATCATTACTAACAAAACTGTATTGTAAATATTATATAAAACTGTAAAAACTACTAACACATAATCATTATGTAATTCCTAACTATAGGTAACTTAATTGTATATAACATTGTACACCTACCACAGGCTAATGACCTTGTTGTTGAAGCCCTATTATCAATAATAATAAAAAAAAAGTACCTATTAAATTATATTTCGTAGGTCATTATTTTAATTGGACAACAGAATAGATCTTAATTATTTCAACATGCAAATAAAAAATAGATATTATACTACCGAAAGCAAAGATTATGGATAATTTTATTTATGCGATAAATAATTGAATAATTAATGATGTACTGTAATTTTTCCATCCCTGTTTTACGAAAAAAATAAAGATTACTTTATTACGAACCACGGAGTATAATATACCGGTGGAAACTTTTTTATAAAAAAAAAAAAACAGGAAACTCGCATCGACGGAATAGAAGTACGTGAAAAACTACGAGGACACGATCTAGTGTAAGTATAGGTAAGTTTGTGCGTTGCAGTTTAGATCTCTACCCCTTTTCATCCTCATCGCGGAAGTATAGATAGTCAATGGGCCAACTGCTACAGTAACCTATACTACTACTATAGGTACTAAACATGGTATATTATTATTAGTATAGTAGAAGTAGTATAGAAGTGGTAGTAATAACGCCAAAGACTTTTCCGACGTGGCTGTAACGCACTTGGGTGGAAAGTAGTTTTCTACTTCCACCGTCAGCAGTCGTGGTGGAAGGGGGGGGGATATATTATTATGTTCGTAACGGTCGACTGGGCGGCTGCAGCAGCGCAGCGGCGGCGACGGCAACGGTATAAACTTATCGGAAAACGAACACACACACGCATACACATTTATGTATGTATATTATATACATACATACGGGCATATAGAAAAGGAAGACGGTGGTCGAGAGGAAGGCGGGCGAGGTTAAGGGTATATGTATATAGGAGGAGAGTGAAGTAAAAGCTTTCGAAGGATGTCGCCCTCTCCCGGAGGGACGGCGCGGGCCGGACAACTATGGCGGTGTAATGGAGCGTTGCTAGGTAACAATATAGCTTGTAGAACTTTTCGGTATACCCTTCGTCGTCGCCGTCGTCATCGTTATCCTCTTTATCCACCTCCTACTCCTACGATTCAGCCACTACAGCATATAATATACTTCTATACATGTATATATTCACTAAAAACTCATTCAAAGAGAACACATCACATTGCTCGCTCCCCGTCCTCCAACCACTCCGTTTCCGAGCCCAAACACACGCGCATACATTCTCGGTAACCATCACATAAACGGTATGCGTTTACACGTTTCATTATATTATTAATCCTGCAGGTTCCGGTAATCCGGTATGATTAGTGTTGTGTTCCGCATAATATGTCCAATAGGTACCTACATATATACAGTATATGCTTATTACATGTTAGGTTAGGTAAAGTAATATATATATATATATAGTTAACTTGAGCTCGCCAACCGTCACATCAGGTATTCATCCGTCCCTATAGTCGATATCGTATACATTTGTACATAAAAAAAGAAAAATTTATAGCCGGGACTTATAGATTTATACAGGTCGAATCGACCGGACGTATAATTATTGTCAATCGACTGTATATATATATATATATATAATGCTTACCCGTGTGATGGTGATTCTGGTGTTGCTGATGATGGTGGTGATGGTCTAGATCGCGTTTCCGTTTGGCTGTGGTCACGTTACCGTTGGGGTCGTGTTGCGGTATGCCGAGTATGCCGTTTATGCTGTACCGGTCGTGAAGGTGACCGCCACCTCCGGCCGACTGTTGCGGGGCCGGCGCGTGGGCGATCACCGACACGGGACCGGAACCTTGTTGCTGCTGTTGCTGTTGCTGCTGCTGCTGCTGCTGCTGTTGCTGATGATGTTGTTGGCTCGGCGATACACCGGTGCTACCGTTGCTGTTGCTGTTCTGATGGTGGTGCAGGTTCTGTTGYTGGTTGTGCACATGTTTCGCTTTCTCAGCCGCCTTGTTTCGAACGATCCTGCAACAACACGATGTATAGTTGAAAACCAGACCGAACAATGGCGGTGCAGGGTCTGTGCTGCGGTAATAATTATATTGAGCCGCAGCCCCGGCGGCAATGAGCATATTTAACGGTTCAGAAAACAAAATATAACGCCGTATAATTGTTATTGTCGTCGTTCGGGCGAGTTGCACCAAAACTTGTGCCGCGGGCGCAACACAACGACATGCACGTATATATATATATTATTGTTACGCGCGTAATACACTCGCCACTGCGGACGGAGACTGCAGCAGTCGTTGTGCCGCGCGCGAACATATAATAAAAAGCAGCGGTGGAACCAGTGCTGTGTATATGCCCTCCTCGGGGACCGGCAACTTTTAAACTCGGGACAAAAGTTACGCGCCGGCACAGTGCACGCATAACTATATTAAAAGCTTCGCGGTCCGTTTGTCCGAGCGCCCCGCAGAAACGACGTATACGATGTATTATACAGTGCGTGCTGCACATCGGGGAGAGGGGGCAACGCGCACCACACCTTTTGACGCGTATATATTGTGGATAGTGTAGCCGCCTTATGTATAGGGCGCGCAAAAGTTTTCCAAGTGCGGAATTGCGTTTTCCCGAAAATTATAGACCGCTATACGTATGAACGTGCGCGCTCTGGCCTTTGATTAGACGATGTTCCGCATCGTATCGTTCGCTGCAGCGTTGTTACGCGTTTTGAGTTTATATTATACTGCAACTACACGCAGAAGAAGAGAGAGAGAGTGTGTGTGTGTGAGAGAGAGCGAGCAAACTACATAATAATATAACAGTTTGGTGACTTATGAATTAAAAAAGTGAGCCAAGGGGTGCGACAGAGCCTATATCGAGTAGATTAATAACTTAACGCAATAACAGTTATGGTAATTGTCATAAGTCCAGGAAGCTCGGTGCGCACGTGCCAGGCCCAGTGACGTGCACGTGCCCTCTCTTCYCGCGAGTCCTTTTTCCCAAACTAGTTTTTAATACTGTAACGATTCGCATTAATCATCGTCCCGCAAATTTATTACGGTCTTTCGGCGGCCACCACCCTCGTCCCGCGCTGAGACAAAAGCCACGATTTTTCTCATGATATGCATTCCGATCGACAGCGAATTTAATGCGCGCGTCCCCTCCATTGTTGTTCAAATGTCAAAAATATCCTTTAAATTTTGCGGGCGATTATTAACGCAATGATATAACAATATATTATGTATATTATTATAAAACATAATATTATTATTTTGCATAACTATTGCTTTAAAAAACTATTGGACCGCATGAATTTAGTGATTATTGTTATTATCGTTATTTGGTGTACTACGTATATATTGTGTGTTGTCTGATGGTGCGGACAATGGGCCGTTTTGACTTTTGTTTTTGACAATCATATATTATTCAGCTACACGCATTTTCCACAAAAACTGTTACGGGTCACTAAACAAAACGACGGAATAAAACGGACTTACTTCTCCATTTGTTTATTGACATAAATGAACGCGTGACCGGACGTGATGTCAACAGGTAAAGTTTTAACAAAAAATATAATAACACAAATAACCCTTGGTGAACAGTTAATTGTTTACATACCTAATGAATTAATAGTAAACAGTAAGTTCGGTGCTTATATTTATTTAAAGAGAATCGAATTGATTGTTTAAAATTAAATTGCTTTAATAGTTTATCATTAACATATTATTGAAGTAGGCAATACCATTGACTATAAATATTAATATTTAATGAAGGTTGATTATAAATAATAATTTATAAAAAATAGTTTTGTAAGTATCATCTATAATCTCGTATTTACGTATCTCGTTTATGTATATATCAGATGGYCTCAGTTGAAAGATGTTTTTAAGATCAATAAAAAATATTTATATACATAATATTATAATCCATTGGCATCTAACTTATAATGCTATTGTTAAGATTCATTATCGTATTATGAATAGTTCGAAACTTATAGCTTATAAGATATTAATAATTTAAATATAATAATATTTGTCTATATTATTTAAAATTTAAATACACCTACTGCTGAGTGTTTAAGTGGGGCCTGATTAAGTTTCTTATAAAGTTAACTAACACGATTACATAATTCAACAATCGATTTTTTTTTTCATGACAATAATAATATTGTTTATTTGTAACTAAAAATTATTTTAAAAAAGTAATTTTCTTTTGACAGATATATAGGTAGTTTTTGACGCGGTGGACCGAATAATTTCTCARCACAGTTCGAATTCGAACTATCCATAGAACCCAATAATTCCGTATAATAATATATTATCATTCTTGCACTAAGTTTTATTCGAGTCACGCGCTAGAATAATAATTGTAGTCGAGCGGTAAATAACAGTAATAATATTCGGCGTGTGTGCATCTTGAGAGTGTGGTGTGATGGTATATTATAATATAATGGCATATCAATGAGTTTTGTGAACGAGGTTTTTGCGGGGCAAACATGTTCATCGAGTATATGATAGTAATAATAATAATAATAATAACAATAATAAACTGCTGCAGCATACAGTAGGGTCCGTCGAGAGGGGGCACACGTCCCTTTTATGGTTATTGTATGAACCTTATAATATAATGTTATATTGTGCAAATGGCGCATTGATGGAGTGAAGCCGGTTGCTGTGATCGTCGACACACACACACACACACACACACACATATAAACGCATAAGTCAAACTGACTTTGCTGGAGTTGCGCTACACACAATGATCAGCAGGGAGTCTTTGAGCAGATGTACGTACACTCACATCCACAAACATACACACACACACACATAGGTTCTTCAAGCACGTCCCTGTCGAACCGCGAGTGCGTTATGATAGTTTTTTCATATATATATATATATATATATCAACCTACCTATATAATTTATCGCGAGAACGACGGCGGCTCATACGTATTATACATATTATTATAATAATACAATGTATACGCATATAAACATAAAATAATACGTATTATGTTCTAAAGACGTTAGTGCAGTGATCACCGACCGTATTTCCTCAACGTCAAATATTGTATACGTACGTACTATACGTATGACGATGACGATGACGGCAAGCGCAGACCGCAGTAAAACGTTTCACTTGTAGCCGGAAAGCCAGCGCACGTTTCGCCCGAGAAAAGCCTCTCGAAACGCACGAGCTAACACGCACCACGACGATTTGCCGGGCGAACTGAAGTCCCGATTGTATTGGTGTTGATGGGTCGGGGGGTGTGAAGCGAGGGGGTATTTTTTCGATATTTTAGATTAGGGTGGCTGTGTCGTCGTCACAAACAACCGTATAACAACTTGCAGTTAAAATAAATCGATGCTTAGAGATTTTCCGCGCGACGTATATTATTGTCATTATTTTTGTTATATAATATTGACTTACAGTGGATTAATGGAACGATGCATGCATTATGTTGTTATTGTTATTATTATTATTATTATATAATACGTACGCGCGGAAGTTAGGCATAATTAAGGCGAAATTGCCAGCAAAATAAACGTTCTCGTAACGTCTAAATCGATCTTTCGTTTTTAATTACTCGTGTTGTATAATACTTTTTGTAATAATAATAATATATTCCCGTTCTTTCGTTGCGCTTTACGGGGTTTGACTAACTCTCAAATGTTTTTTTTTCTTTTAAGTTTTAATCTTTTCGGCATAACGATTATCTTAGAACAATCACATTTATTTATTCGCAATTTATGTATTATCTTCATAACGAGCGTAGTTGTAACTGTAATATTATACACTGTATGCAGTTTATGGTCGTATTATACTCTTATATGAGTACGACTAAACCAAGATTATTATTAGTTATTACCTATTGCGTCCGATATCGGAAACTTGTACAGTTGCCGGTGTATTCGACCTGTCAATCGTTTAAATAATCCTGGTTTAATGATAATAATATGTAATATTTATTTTAGAATTTTTTTTTATTAATAATTTTGTATATCAGAATATTTAAATCCATCTATATAGTGTATCGTGTATCAAAACTATAGTTTATATTTTACATCGATTTCGAAATCAATATAAGGTACCTAACCTAACCTAGTAAGGCAAGTTAATGAATACAATTAACTGGAGTTAATTAACTTGAGAATGTTGCTTAAACTATAAGTGAATAGTTTACAAACAATAAATAATTCAACTCTCGGATCTTAATATGTGTTAAATGTATCACAATTATTATAATATAATTTTTTTCTTATTTATAGATTTCGGTTTGTATTATATAACTATTAACTGGTAATAACATGGTTTTAATAGTATACCTATATGCTAATGTTAAATTCTATCTATTTTATAATTATCGTAAGACATCATCGAAATATTGGATTAGTTTATTTTTAATTACGACTATGTACACACGCAAGATATAATATAGGGATGATGCGTAATTAAACAAAAACATTTTGCTAACTTTGCGGATTTATTTTAAAATTAACCGAAATAAGCTAAATTATTACAATAGTCGTTTAATCCAAGTAGACAGTAAAGATTTCAAGTTCGTTTAAAATTAAGTTTTCGACTACACTTTAAATGTTTAAATAGYTTATGTAATTGTTATACCAAACTTTTATAAATTAGAGAAAGTAAAACAATCGTTAAAAATATAAAATCAATGTCAGTATTGAAATCTATATTATTGCAGGTGACCATTATTTTAAATAATAATGTTTACTTGTCCTGTTTTTTTTTATCCTCGAAAATATTTTGTAATACAAATTTGTTAAAATTAATCTCAGTATTATAGAAGTGTTGTAATGCAATAGGTACTTATTTAAAAACAATAAAACTGATTAAGTAATAAAAGTTTTGTTTTAACTAGGTTATTTTACAATAATATCCAATCGAACATATTATTATTTTATATTAATTGTGGATTCCGAAATATGGCTTAGAATATTAGATAATAGACTAGTATACTGTGTTAATTATGAATAAAATATATACAGTGAGTGGTTTAG